CACCCGATAAAAGTCGGGGATGATTTCATAAGGTATTATGATGAAAATGACACACCTAATTTGTGGCCTCTGTGCAATAATGTATGATGGCATTCCTCCTCCCCATGATGAGAAGAGTGCTAAAAATAAAACAAGAAACAAACAAATAAACAAATAAGACAATTTCTATGCTCCAGCAAAAGGGAAAAATTTGCAGAGGCATACTGCATGCAATCCACATATGGTTATCTTTTTATTACTTTTAATACCATTATTGAATTGACTGACAAGCTGTTGCAGATGAAAATTATCAGGATTTCAGAGGAGATGGCCACAAACTGCATTGGATTAGGGTCACTGACTGTGGGCATCTCCTTCACCATTCACAGATAGCCACAAATATCTATCATAAGATGAAAACTTCTGCCATAATGCTGCTGGATTAGTAATCAAAGCACTGGCAAGTAGCCAGAAAGGAAATGAGCATTGCAACAGCAGGTCAACCATAGCGGTGGTCAAGCCACCACACTGTCTCTAAGAGAAAGCCTACTGAAACAAACACAATCTTATGGTGTCTTTTATTAAGTCAGCAGGGTTCTGTTCAGAAATGCAAGAGGAGGCATGAAAATCTGGAAGAAAAGTCATGCGCCAAATGGATAGCTGGATTGCAGGCTTATGATTCAACATGTGTTGATGCTGAATTTATTGGCTAAGAATAGGGCAGAGCTGAAATCTCCAAAATGTGGGATTTGGCAATCATTGTTGTGTTTGGTGCCAAATTATGCTTTAATTAGGTGCTGAAAGTAGGCTGAGTAATTGCCATTTTTATGAAACTTACATGCCTCAGATTTAATTCTTGTTTGAAGCTCTTTACAAAACTAGTTTTTATTTTTTAATTGAAACTGCACTTCTCAGCTATGTATGTTTGGATGAGTAACTTGACTTTTGGCATTTGGAGCATAATAGCCTCAACTGTCTTCTGAGCCCTAGAAACTAGAAAAGAAAAAGAGTGAAGACAGGTGGAAAAGATGAAGCTCAAGTCCTATTTTAATTCCTATGAATCCTAGTTCTGGAGAGGAAGACATCTCAAGTCAGCAGCAAACCAGAGTCAAAAGATTTTTGAACATGCAACATGAAACATCCCTTTGAGATGCCAATCTTGTGCCCCTTCGTTTGCATGGCCCTTGGAGCTTCTTCACAAACATCTGAATGATCCAACCCAGGTTAGCCACTGCTATGCCAGAAATGTTGTGGGCATCCTCTACTCGTGGAGCAGCAGGATCACCAATGAAGAAAGCACTAGCACTGAAAGGGGGGTTGCCCTAATTCCTAATGACAGCATCATAATCTTAATTCTAACTCAGTCATAACACTCTTTCTTTTCAGGTGCAACTGATATGAATAGAAGAGAGAGAGAGAGAGAGAGTGTATATTTGATTGTTAAAGCTTCTGATGCTATGATAAAAATTTCTGGACTTTTAAACTCCCGTGCTATATTTCATGAGCGTTTCATTATTTGGATGATATATTCTTTAGATTGTTTAAGATTATATTATTATGGGAGGAGCATTCAATGAGACTTTGGATCTTGAATTAAATAGGAAGATTCCTACCCATAAAAAATAATTATTCAAACTTACATGGATAAATTAAACTAGATTGGCTCTTGGCATTTGTAACATCCTAGCACAGAGTTATACTGTACATCCAAAAATTTTTAGACCTGATTACTTTTTGGTCTCCTCAACATTATTTCAGCATATTCAAAGGTGTATGATTGACACCTCTTATGTATCTGATCATAAAACAGTTTAAATTTACAGCTTTACTGACTAAGCCATTTGAAAGTTGATACTGTAGTGTCTCTCCATTGAATCATAATGAATTTATACAACCGTTGAATTCTGAAATAATGTAGGAATGGTTAGTTCCTTAATTTTATTTGTATATATTTTTTTATCCTGCCTTTATTATTTTTATAAATAACTCAAGGCGGTGAACATACTCCTTCCTCCTCCTATTTTTCCCACAACAACCCTATAAGGTGAGTTGGGCTGAGAGACAGTGACTGGCCCAAAGTCACCCAGCTGGCTTTCATGCCTCAGGTGGGACTAGAACTCTCCGTCTCCTGCTTTCTAGCCTGGTGCCTTAACCATTAGATCAAACTGGCTCTTTGAATGGGAGGCTAATAAAACTTATTTTCATTCATTCATTCATTCATTCATTCATTCATTCATTCATTCATGGCCACCTATCTTATATACAATAATCCCAGGTGGCACACATCAAAACCAATAATAAAAATATTTATATAACTCATGCACAAAGCAATATACCCTCCACCATGGCATCATAACATCCATCAATTCCACAACCACTGGCTCTTCCCCATCCTAGCCCAAAGCCTGGGAGAAAAGTCAGGTCTTCATGGCCTTCCAGATCTCAGATGGGAGGCTGTTCCAAAGGCCCAGGCAGCTATGGAGAGAGCATGCCTCCAAGGTCCCACCAGATGATAACGTTTAAGGGAAGGGACTTGGAGCGTGCCCACCCCATCCAACCTGGTGGGACAGACAGATATCCTCAGGGAGAGGTGGTACCACAAATAACTAGGTCCCATGCCATTCAGTGCTTTAAAGGTGATAACCAGCACCTTGAATTGCACCTGGAAAGAAACTGGGAGCCAGTGCAGGTTGTGGTAACAGCAGTGTAACATGGGCAAACTAATGGGTGCCTGGAACTGCATGTGTGGCTGCATTCTGGACTAGTTGTAGCTTCTGGGTGGTCTTCAAAGGCAGCCCCATATAGAGCACATTCCAGTAATCCAACCAAGAAGTGACTAAAGCATGAGCTATTGTGATCAAGGCCTCCCAGTCCAGGAATGGGCACAGTTGGTACACAAGATAAATTTATGCAAAGGCCCCCTGGCCACGCCTGACACCTTCTCTTCAAGCAGGAACTGTGAGTCCTGGAGTACTCCCAAATTGTGCACCGACTCTGTCAAGGGAAACGCAATTTTGTACAGAGCCATGGATGGCAACTCAGTGGACCCCAGGAGATCAAAAACCCAAAGTCATACTGTCTTGCAAGGGTGGAGTCACAGCTGGTTCCTCTCTGTCCAGGCCCTCACACTCCAGGCACTGGGTAAGCACCTCAATGGCATCACCTGCCCAGCATAGGGTAGAAATGAATATCATCTACATATTGATGATACTGCACCCTATGCTGCCAAATTACCTCACCCAGTGGCTTAATGTAGATGGAGAGACCCAAGCCCTGAGGAACCACACATTAAGGGGCCTAGGGCTGAATCTCTCCTCTCCTCCCCTACCAACACCAACTGGAACTGGCCACAGAAGAAGAAGGAGAAGGAAGAGGACTGCAAAACAGTTATCATGGTCAATGGTATCAAAAACCACCAAGAGATCTAGGTGGGCTAGGATGGACACATCATTTCTATCCTGCGCCCTCCAGAGGTCATCCACAAATATGACCAATGCCATCTTGGTACTATAACCTGGCTTGAATCCTGACTGAAAAGGGTCCAGATAATCTGCTTCATCCAAGGCTCTCCAAAGCTGGGTACTCACCACCTTCTCAACAACCTTCCCCCAAAAGTACGAACGTTGCACAATGCAATGTGGTCCAAGGATGGCCTCTTGAGAAAGGAGTGTACCACCACCTCCTTCCAGGCAGGCGGCACCATCCCTTCCTGCAAAGAAGCATCAGTCACCACTTGGACCCCACTGCATGTCACCTCCCAGATAGCTGGATGGTCCAACCAACCAACCAGGAGGGGCGCTGAGCTCACAGTGACAAAGATCCTGTTCCACAGAATCGACCGGGTCAAACTCCTCCCAGATAACCAAGCTCAGTCTGTTGGAAGTCACTTCCAAAGGACTGCCCAGCCAGAGTCCAATTCAGAGCAAAGCCAAGCAACTTCGTCCAACAGATGCCTAGATTAGTCCTCACAGCAGCCCTGCAAGGTTTCCCCCAGCTCCTCCTTCTCCAGGAGGGACCTGGTCACCTGAAACAGGATTGGTATCCAGCTATATCATCATCAAATCTTTATTACGGTTAAAGACCATTATAAGGAGGGTGGGGTACAGTCAGTTTAAAAAACATAAAAAAATAATAATAAAAAGCTAAAAGATAGAAAATAGAAAATATATATCTAAAAGTGATCTAAAAGAAAAATTATGAAAAGGTAGAAGATATAAAAATATACGTATTAAAACAGAAAGCATGTGTAAAAAACAAGAGTCTAAAAGAATCTACAAGGAGCATTAGAGGGGTGCAGGGGGGCATGAAGGTTAGTATGGGACAGACTATATCTATCGAATTACAGAGCGCTCTAGTATGACAAACTGGATGCTCATTTGGATTAGTTTATGGCACAGGCCATCCTCTGATGAGTTTTAATCGCTGCTGCGCTGAACCTGGCAACATTATATGTTGTAGCTGAGTTGGTGTCTGAAAGCAGCAGGAAGGGGTAGAATTGCCCTGTGCGCCCTGGGTGTTTATGCAGTAATGGCGAGATGAGGCTAGTACGAACGTCTCTGTAATACAGACCATCCAGCTATCTGTGGATGCAATAAAAGCAGAGAAGTGAGCGTGTTCTGCTGCTCTTACTGCCACAGGGTAAGTCCTAATATAGGCTCATACCTGTGCTTGGAGAGCTTCATCTTTAGTCTTCCTCCAGTGGTGCTCTAGGGCTCTCCAGTGTCATTTCATCTCCTGGAGCTCTTTTGTAAACCGCAGGCCCAACGGGATCCACGACTGCAGAGTGTCTGCACAGGCATGATCTGAAGCAAGGTCCTTGTCACATGATCTTGCCAAGCATCAACTAAGGCCTTGGCCAAACTGTGCCCCAGAGCCTTGGGAATAACCCTAAGCTCCTTCTGAAACCCTAGTGGGTCCATCTGTCACCAAGATGATTAAACAGGGCCAACTTCCGTGCAGTGCAGGGTGGCTAATAGGGCCAAGAGGGAGTGATTCCTCCATGACAAGGGATTGATGTTAATATCCCCCAACTCCAGATCATGATCTCATGTGTGATTCCCATTAGGGTCAAGCCCCTAATACGTTGGATCAGGTCCTTGGTGGCCATGAACTCCTGAGTCACCTCTGACTCTGGGCCCAAAGAAGGCAGGTTGAATTCTAACGCCAGTTCAATCACGGAGTCGAGCAGCCTGAGCAAGGCTGCCTCCACATGGCAGGGAGGGAGGCAAGCAGCAAACCCAACTGACATCTGGCTATATCTGGGGCAGCACCCTCAAAGGCCCCTACAGACTCCCTAATAACAGCCGTACCGCCACCCTTGCCCTGGATATGCAGCTGGTGTCACCCTTGAAACCGGGGAGGGCACAATTCCAAGAGAGAACCCCCCACCCACCAAGCCAGGTTCCAGCGATACACACCAACTGGCCCTCTCATCCACAATCCAACCATGGATGCGGTAGACTTTATTTCAGGCCAACCTGGCATTCAGGAACAGTAGCCAGAGACCAGGGCCTCCAAGGCCTTCAGGCTGAGCACAGCACAACACTAATATTAAACAGCAGGGTCACCTTCCCCAAGAGCAACCTGTCCCCTGTCTCCCACCACACCTCCCCATGTCCATCACCACCTCAATGCTGTCCCTTGCCCTCTCCCCATGACATCAGCCTCCTCTTGCTGTCCCACCCCGCAAGCCAAAAGGACCCATCACATCCTTACCAACACCTTTCATACCTGAAATAGGAAGATACACCCACTGCAGACACCTGATGTGTCTGCCTGGCATTCAGCGCCCATGACTGAGGCAGTTCCTCCCTCTCACTTCACCTATTCAATCTTATCCCCTCTGCTACCTTTATCCTCCAGCCACCCCGCTCTCCCCAGGTTGCAGGGGGAAGCCCCACACTCACTAGAACCAATAGGCAGGCAGGGCTCACCCCCAACCCCATCTGTCCCAGGTGGAAAGAGGCCAGTTCAGCCTCACCAAGCCCCAACTTCCGAAACAGTTTCAGCTGGTAATTGCCACAGATTTTCTCCTTCACCCTGCCAGGGCCTGTATAGAAACCTTCCAGGTCCGTCTCCATGTCTCAACTACAGTTTGTATGGTTGTATTGTTGCATCTGCATTATATAAATATAAAAAAATACATGGAACTAACTTGAAAATTCCTACCACCAGTCTATATAACACCACACTCATTATGAGTTGAATAATTTCACAGCAAACTGAGTTTTGTTAACAGGCTTATGTCAAAGATACTGGGAAACTGCTGAGAGATCTGGCTGGACCTTGGCACATCACTTGAAGCAAAAACAAGAAAAGAAAGATGACAAAATGGTTACAGCCATCAAAGACGAGAATACGAAGATATCTAGTTCTCCTGAAGATATATATATATATATATTTTTGAAGATTCTGCCTTTTAACAACCATTAAACCATGAAACAATCATTCTGAGAGAACAGCTGATGTCCACGAGAGACCTGCCTGAGGGAGGATGCTGGAATGGAGACTCTTCTTTGCTCCAGGCCAGGCAGCTTGCATTGCTAGCAGGCAACAGTGGAAGCAAGCTGCCTGGCCTGGAGCAATTCTCCCTCTGCCCCGCGCGGGGGCCCCTCAGTCTCTCTCAGTCAACCACCTTGGGCAACTCTGATTACAGAGCTCAGCATTTTCGCAAAGGCTGCCCAGAATGCCGGGAATCCATGGCTCCCAGTGAGGAGTTGGACCTCTGCAATGTATGCAGCAGGGCACTGTTTGCATTTGACACTCCATTCGGGTCAAGCTGATGATGGAAAATTGGAGAAGCAGCATCCTGGGCCATGAAACAAAAAAGGGAAACAGCCAAAGCCGCTCTCAGTATTTGGGTTTCAAGAGCAGCTGGGCCCTTCTACCTCCTGCAAACACAGAGAGTGTTTCCACTTGCAAGCCAGGGGCAGCCCCCCACCCTTCCCATAAGCAGTCCAAGACTGTCGAATGGACGAAAATGGCCAATTTTGCAGTTTGGTGTTTTGAGCTGAAACAATGGGATTTGGGGCATTAAGTCTAAAAACATCAATTTCCACCTTTCACGTCAAACAGGTGATTTTAGCTGGCAGAGGCATTACACAACAAAAATTCAGAAGCTTGAATTTGCAATTTACGTACTTCTGCATGATCTTTTCAGGGACATCTTAAACCTATGCTGAAAATGAACCCTAAAAGAAAGTGGATCATGATACAGTGTGGGTTTCTGTTCTGGGTGCCTTCAAGTCAGTCCTGACTCCTGGCAACTGCCTGGAAAAGTGGGTGCAGTTTTTCAGACAACCTTTTCAAAAGTGGTCTGCTCTGGGCTCCTTCTTCTTGGGCCGAGAGGGAGGGCCTGGCCCAAGGCCACCAAGATAGGACTGGAACTTACAGTCCCTTGGATCCTGGGGGGGAGGGGGCGCTTCAACCAATACACCAAACTGGCTGCTATAACTTACTGAAAAAACTACTGCGACCAATTATTTAAAAAAGCAGTACAACCAATTATATATAAAAAAGGCAGAATGGTGGTCTGGGGTACTTCCAAGCTGAACCGACCTCCTGTCAGCTTGTTCTGTCCAGTCCTAAGAATTCGGGTGCCACACTCCTTGCAGAGCTGAAAGATAGTCAGCAAGAAGTCGCGACGGCCCTTCCCCTCCACCCCCTCTTCTAAAGCCGGAGGGTTGAGAGCAACTTGCCCCCAATCTGGCGGGGGCGGGGGATCCCGAACCACAACGCTCAGGCTCGGTTCGCACAAGAGGGCAGACTAGGCGGCAAGGGGTCGGGAAGCGCCCTCCAGCCCCCCGCGGGGACCCTGCCACCGTCTTCGCACCGCGCGCGATGCCGCCTCCGTTACGCTCGGACACACACAGGGCCGGGCACGCGAATACCTTCGTAGGGCACGCCCGTTGCGTGAAGCCTCTGCCAGAAGCCGCGGGAAGGGTCGCCCTCGTCCCCCGGGTTCCTCCCGCGGCTGGCAAGCGCACCTGCCCCGGCACGATGCGCGGCGTGAAGGAGGGGGCCGGCCAGGCGGCCGGCCGGGCTCCCCTCGGGAGTACCCCAGCGAACCTGCAGGAGGGGA